TCCAAAATGTGGCCCGGGAATGGAGTTCTGGGAAATCGAAGAGCACGAAGTGGGCACGAAGTGTGTGACTGTATGCGAAAAACGATCCCCGCCGGCAAACCCCAACAGCCCCCCAACTGCCCCCCCAACTGCCCCCAACGGCTGCCCAGACCCCCCTGTGGAGTAATGTTGAAGTAATGTTGAAGTAATGTGCTGCTCTCTTTTGACACCACTAGAAACCTACCAGTCTTCGATGTTAGGTAATTATCCCGGCAAAGCAACCTAACATCGATGTGTAGGAGCACATCTGGAAGCATTCCCCTTAATATTCGGATGAGAATCCAGTTGTAGAATTCTGCTGTTCTCGCAGTCGTAGTCGCATTCGCGATGACAGTCGCAGTGGCAACGGCAGTCGCAGTCACAGCCTCAGCCTCAGCCTGCCTCAGCATCAGCCTGCCTCAGCCTCAGCCTCAGCCTGCCTCAGCCTCAGCCTCAGCCTGCTTCAGCCTCAGCCTCAGTCTGCCTTCAGCCTCGGCCTCAGCCTCAGCCTGCCTCAGCCTCAGCCTGCATCAGCCTCAGCCGCAGCCTCAGCCTGCCTCAGCCTCAGCCTGCCTCAGCCTCAGCCTCAGCCTGCCTCAGCCTCAGCCTCAGCCTGCTTCAGCCTCGGCCTCAGTCTGCCTTCAGCCTCGGCCTCAGCCTCAGCCTGCCTCAGCCTCAGCCTGCATCAGCCTCAGCCTCAGCCTCATCCTGCCTCAGCATCAGCCTGCCTCAGCCTCAGCCTCAGCCTGCCTCAGCCTCAGCCTCAGCCTGCTTCAGCCTCAGCCTCAGTCTGCCTTCAGCCTCGGCCTCAGCCTCAGACCGCCTCAGCCTGCATCAGCCTCAACCTCAGCCTCAGCCTGCCTCAGCCTCAGCCTCAGCCTGCTTCAGCCTCAGCCTCAGTCTGCCTTCAGCCTCCGCCTCAGCCTCAGCCTGCCACAGCCTCAGCCTGCATCAGCCTCAGCCTTAGCCTCAGCCTGCCTCAGCCTCAGCCTGCATCAGCATCAGCCTCAGCCTGCCTCAGCCGCAGCCTCAGCCTGCTTCAGCCTCAGCCTCAGTCTGCCTTCAGCCTCGGCCTCAGCCTCCGCCTGCCTCAGCCTCAGCCTGCATGAGCCTCAGCCTCAGCCTCAGCCTGCCTCAGCCTCAGCCTGCCTCAGCCTCACCCTCAGCCTGCCTCTGCCTCAGCCTCAGCCTGCTTCAGCCTCAGCCTCAGTCTGCCTTCAGCCTCGGCCTCCGCCTCAGCCTGCATCAGCCTCAGCCTGCATCAGCCTCAGCCTCAGCCTCAGCCTGCCTCAGCATCAGCCAGCCTCAGCATCAGCCTGCCTCAGCCTCAGCCTCAGCCTCAGCCTGCCTCAGCCTCAGCCTCAGCCTGCTTCAGCCTCAGCCTCAGTCTGCCTTCAGCCTGCCTCAGCCTGCATCAGCCTCAGCCTCAGCCTCAGCCTGCCTCAGCATCAGCCTGCTTCAGCCTCAGCCTCAGTCTGCCTCAGCCTCAAGCCTCAGCCTGCCTCAGCCTCAGCCTCAGCCTGCTTTCAGCCTCAGCCTGGCCTTCGGATCGGCCTCCGCCTCAGCCTGCCTCAGCCTCACCTGCAATCAGCCCAAGCCTCAGCCTCAGCCTCAGCCTCAGCCTGCCGTCAGCAAGCCTGGCCATCAGAGCCTCAGCCTCAGCCTCATCCTCAGCCTGCTTCAGCCTCAGCCTCAGTCTGCCTTCAGCCTCGGCCTCAGCCTCAGCCTGCCTCAGCCTCACCCTGCATCAGCCTCAGCCTCAGCCTCAGCCTGCCTCAGCATCAGCCTGCCTCAGCCTCAGCCTCAGCCTGCCTCAGCCTCAGCCTCAGCCTGCTTCAGCCTCAGCCTCAGTCTGCCTTCAGCCTCGGCCTCACCCTCAGCCTGCCTCAGCCTCAGCCTGCCTCGGCCGCAGCATCAGCCTGCCTCAGCATTCAAAATGTGGCCCAGGAATGGAATTCTGGGAAGTCGAAGAACACGAAGTTGGCCTACAGTTGGCTCCGGGCATTCAAAATGTGGCCCGGGAATGGAGTTCTGGGAACTCGAAGAGCACGAAGTGGCCTACAGTTGGCTCCGGGCATTCAAAATGTGGCCCGGGAATGGAGTTCTGGGAACTCGAAGAGCACGAAGTGGCCTACAGTTGGCTCCGGGCATCCAAAATGTGGCCCGGGAATGGAGTTCTGGGAAATAGAAGAGCACGAAGTGGCCTACAGTTGGCTCCGGGCATCCAAAATGTGGCCCGGGAATGGAGTTCTGGAAATAGAAGAGCACGAAGTGGCCTACAGTTGGCTCCGGGCATCCAAAATGTGGCCCGGGAATGGAGTTCTGGGAAATCGAAGAGCACGAAGTGGCCTACAGTTGGCTCCGGGCATCCAAAATGTGGCCCGGGAATGGAGTTCTGGGAAATCGAAGAGCACGAAGTGGGCACGAAGTGTGTGACTGTATGCGAAAAACGATCCCCGCCGGCAAACCCCAACAGCCCCGCAACTGCCCCCCAACTGCCCCCAACGGCTGCCCAGACCCCCCTGTGGAGTAATGTTGAAGTAATGTTGAAGTAATGTGCTGCTCTCTTTTTAGCCCATTAGAAACCTATCAGTCTTCGATGTTAGGTAATTCTTATCATAGTAGTAGTCGTCGTCGTCGTCGTCGTCGTCGTCGTCGTCGTCGTCGTCGTCGTCGTCGTCGTCGTCGACGTCGTCGTCGTCGTCGTCGTCGTCGTCGACGTCGTCGTCGTCGTCGGTCGTCGTCGTCGTCGGTCGTCGTCGTCGTCGTCGTCCGTCGTCGTCGTCGTCGTCGTCGTCGTCGTCGTCGTCGTCGTCGCGTCGTCGTAGTAGTAGTAGTAGTAGTAGTAGTAGTAGTAGTAGTAGTAGTAGTAGTAGTAGTAGTAGTAGTAGTAGTAATGGTAGTAGTAGTAATAATGATAATAACAACAGTCGTAATTGCAGTAGTAGCTGAGAGGATGTTTGATCGACTGTGGCCTGTGCGCATTGCGTTGCATTCTTTGTGGAGTTTTCTGTTGTCTGTTTGCTCTTGCCTGTCTGCCGAATTGATTAACTACAGTGCTTGTCATAATCACACGAGGAAGAGGAGGACTGGAAAGAGCAGTCGGAGGTAGAAGCTCCAAAACCATGAACAAAAACAACATCCAAACACATCTCACTAATCCTGATGAGGGCTCGAATAATAGAGAAACAAAAGTTGTCATACATTGGTTGTTCTGGGATTCGTGGTGCTGGGATTGTATAGAAGTGAAAACACATCGAAAAACTAATCACATACAAAACCATCACATTAATCATTGTCAGGGCTCCAGTGAAACAAGCAAACAAAACAACACTGCTTTCGTAACTCAGTCGGTCTGGGGGGGGGGCTGGGATCGGCGCGTTCCCTCTTGAATTCCTTCTCGCTCACAAACATAATGCAGAATTCTGCGGGGGGCGGGCAGAAGGACGAGAGGATGATGGGCCTGTTTTCCACCACCACCACCGTAAGTTGGAGGGGGGGAAGAGGAGGAGGAGGAGGAGGAGGAAAACAGGCCCATGATCCTCTCCTCCTTAATATCGGCGCATGTCCTGTTGAATTCCAAGCGAAACAACAGATAGCACATTAGAAACTTCTGCGGGCAGCTCGGAACGGCGTTGGAGGCGGCCGCGGGGTCTGAGCTGGCCAGGATCCCAGGGAGTCGGCCAGGAGGAAAGATGAAGCCAAATCCGCTCAAGATCGGTCCCTGTGCGCCCTCCTCCTCCTCCTCCTCCTCCTCCTCCTTCTCGTCCTCCTCCTCCTCCTTCTCCTCCTCCTCCTTCTCCTCCTCCTCCTCCTCCTTCTCGTCGTCCTCCTCCTGGTCCTCCTCCTCCTCCTCCTCCTCCCCGTCCTCCTTCTCGGGGTCCCTGGCGCACTTGTTTACCCCTGATCCGTCTTCGACGGTCCCAGGGTTCGAAAACGGCCACCGGAGACTGAACGAAGCCAAAAACCCTCGCGAGCCCTCCTCATCCTCCTCCTCCTCCTCCTAACTTCGAACTTGCGCCCCCCTTCCTATTGGTCGGAACCAATGCTGGGCCACCTCAGACCCCAGCCCGCTCTAAGATCGGCGCTTTTCCTATTGAGTTCTGATTTGAAAAAAAAACAAACGCGAACGTCAGCAAGTCTGAGGGGGACTGGTATCGGCGCACTTCGGACTGAATTCCACTTGAAAACACACGGGACATTAAAGAACTCTGCTGGCGGCCAGGATCGGCGCATCTCCTCTTGAAGTCACTGAGGAAAGCAACTAAAATGATTCGCGAGGGGCTGAAAATGAATCGGTTGCCGCCGAAATGCGCTTTCTCTGAAGGGCACACTCGTCGTTATCATCGCCGTTGCGTCGAACGTGCTTTAGCTTCGACGCATACGGAAACCCTTTTGACGTCGCGGCGCGGCACAGGCGAGCCGCACGCGCGTCCGAGCCAGACCCGGGACACGGCGTCGCGAAGTAACCCTCATGCAAGAGGAAGGGGGGAGGCGAGGGGGCGGCCGCGGCGCATAGCCGAATTTCCCGAAAAAGTGCAAAACCACCACAAGCGCAGGCTCTTCACGGAATTGAACAAAGGGTGGTACCACTGCGGGGTGTGAGGGAAGTGCGACCGTGCGAACGCAACCCGCTCTACGCGTTTTGCGCGGATCGCGAGCTGGGATCGTTCCCAATTGCGCTACCAACTAGAATTGCGGGGTCTGCAGCAAAACGGAAGGATTGCGGTAACACTGAACTCCATAGCAGAGTTTTTTTGCTTCTCAACAGAGAATGCGTTCGCGCCAGTGCTTGAGCCCACATGGCAGCGGGTCATCCTATTCGAGTGGGGAGGAGGGAGGGAGGACAAGAGAGGAGTGAGACAGGGAGAGCGGGAGGGATGGGGAAGGAGTGAGAGGGGAAGTAGGGAGCACGTGGGAGAGAGGAGAAGGGAGAGGAACAGCAGCAGCAAAAGCAGCAGCAGGAGGGAGGAGGAAGTGGCCTTGTAGGCGGACTTCTCCTTCTCGGCCGCGGTGATCGCTCTGGCCTCGACGGCGCTGTCGGGCCTGGGCACGGGGATGATCTCCTGGGCGGGCCGCGGGCGCACATCGCGACGCGCCTGGTCCTCCTCTCTCCTTGCCTCCTTCCCCTCCTCTTCCTCCTCCTCCCCCTCTTCTTCCTCCTCCTCCTCCGCCTCCTCCTCCTCCTCCTCCTCCTCCTCCTCCTCCCCCTGTTCTTTTTCTTCTCCTTCTTCGTCCTCCTCCTCCTCCTCCTCCTCCTGCTCTCACTCTTCCTCCTCCTCCTCCTCCTCCTCGTCCTCCTCCTCCTCCTCCTCCTCCTCCTCGTCCTCCTCCTCCTCCCCCTTGCCTTGTTGCAGCGGCCTGCAGCTCCTCGCGGGCCGCAAGGCGCGGCACCGAAGGCATGGTTCTGCAACTCGCTTGGTCTCGGGAGGCTTCGAGCTCCAGCCCTGGGACAATCAAAACCCGGGTCGGGAGGAAAGCCGGCCCCCGAGAAGTGCTCGAGATCTCCCGGGGCCGACGCCGCGGGAGGCTGCGACGTCGGAAGGGAGGGTCTATCGTCTTTCCTCCTCGTCCCTCCTCTTTCTCCTTCCTCCTTCCTCCTGTTTCCTTCCTCCTCGTTCCTCCTCTTCCTCTGCTTCCTCTTCCTCGTCCCTCCTATTCCTATTTCCTCCTCGTTCCTCCTCTTCCTCTTCCCTCCTGCTCCTGGTCTTCCTCCTTCCGCATCGGCACCGGCAACGCCGTGGATCGAGTCCGACGGGCCCTTGCTGGCTGAAGGCGTCGCCGCTCTGTTGTGAGTCCCCACGAAACGAAGGTAACAATTAGGGGAAAGCCTATTGCACGGGCGCATCGCTGGGCGCATCGCTTGGCAGTGCTTGGCATGGGTTGGCATTGCTTGGCCTTGCTTGGCAGTGCTCGGCATTGCTTGGTATTGCTTGGCATTGCTTGGCATTGCTTGGCACTGCCTGGCATTGCTTGGCCTTGCTTGGCCTTGCTTGGCATTGCCGAGGATACTGGGGAATCCGAGGAACCCGAGGAACTCGAGGAATCTGAGGAACCCGGGGAAACCGAAGAAAACCAAGGAACCCGAGGAATCTCCGAGGAACGGGCAAAGTAGCGTCCCGAGACACCAACTGTTATTCAAGTAGGAACCTCTTGCGCAAGCCTAATTGGGGAAAGTCGTCCTCGCTCCTCTGTCCTCCTCGTCACTCGTCCCTCCTTCTCCATCGTCGTCCTCCTCCTCATCCTCCTCGTCCGCCTTCCCCTTCCCCCGCTCCCGCTGTCATTGTCGCCGTCGTCGCCGTCTTTGCTCCTTCGTCGGCACGGCTGTCGGAGAAGTCGGCGTCGGCGTCAGCGTCGGCATCGTCGCCAGCGTCTTCGGCGTCATCGGCGCCGCCAGCGCCGCCAGTCGTCGTCGGCGGCGCCAGTGCCGCCAACGTCGCCGCCAGCGCCGCCAAAGTCGCCGCCAACGCCCAGGGCGTCGGCATCGTCGCCGGCGTCGTTGACGCCGTCGGCGTCGCAGTCGCCGCCAGTCGCCGTCAGTCGCCGTCGGCGGGGCCAGCGCTGCCAGCGCCGACGCCGGCGTCCTCGGCGGCGCCGGCGCGAGCGTCAGCGGCGCCCTCCGCGGCCGCGAACCCAGCTGACGGCCACGCCGGCCGCAGGCCACGCTGGCTCCGCTCGATGCCGCCACGACGCTCGGCGTTGCCGCGGCGCCGCCGCTCACCGCCGCTCCCCGCCCTTCTTGGGAGCGGCACGCCGCCGCGCGGCGGCCACCCGCGGAATGGGAGAGGTCCTCCTCGACCTCGACCTAATCGTCGTCGTCCTCGTCCACGTCCTCGTCTTCGTCCTCCTCCTCCTGCTCCTCCTCTTCATCACCACCATCATCATTAACATCACCACCATCACCATCACCATCACCATCATCACCATCATCACCATCACCATCACCATCACCATCATCATCATCATCATCATCATCATCATCATCATCATCATCATCATCATCATCATCATCATCACCGTTTTCATCATCCACAATATCAACATTAACCTCAACATCATCATCACCACCATTATCATTTTGATCAGCATCATCATCACCACCACCACAATCGCCATCATCATCATCATCATCATCATCAGCAGCAGCAGCAGCAGCAGCAGCAGCATCCTCATTATATACACATACACATACTCATATCCATTACAATCATCATCCCCATCATCACCATCACCACCATCATCATCATCGTCATCATTCCCACCACCATCACCACCATCACCACCATCATCATCGTCACCATCAACGCCATCATCACCATCATCACCATCATCATCATCATCACCATCACCATCACCATCATCACCATCACCACCATCATCATCACCATCACCATCATCACCATCATCACCATCATCATCATCATCATCGTCATCATCGTCACAATCATAATGATCATCATCGTCATCATCATCATCATCATCATCATCACCACCACCACCACCACCACCACCACCACCCCCACCACCCCACCACCACCACCACCATCATCATCATCATCATCATCATCATCATCATCATCATCATCATCATCATCATCATCATCATCATCATCATCATCATCATCATCATCATCATCATCATCATCACCATCATCATCATCTCTATCTCTGTGGTCGCCGTGCCTCGTGCAGTCCTCGGGCCCGCACCGCCTGGCTGGAGTCGCTCTCCAGTCACTGTTGGCCGCCACACCCGCGCGGCGGGGTGCAGACAAGTCGGGGTGTGTCGGACCATCGTCGGGGATGGACAGGACCCCCTTTAGTAAAACGTGGTTTAGTGAAAACGACCTCGGGCCCAAACCTGGTGGGCGCAAGCCTGGGAAATGACGGCCGCTGCGCCCTCACGAGAACCGAAAACGGACAATTCATTAATCGACGTGTCAGGATGGGGGTTCTGTCCACCTCCGACATCGGGCAACCGTTGCGGCTGCACCGCGCGGTTGCGGCTCCCCGTCCGAGCCCAACCACGTGCTGGTCTTCTTCACATCCAGTATCCCTACAGCACGCTACCGCGAATCATCGTCACCCGCCTTCGATACCGGCGGTTCTGCAACGGCGCATGCGCGGTTCCCGTCCCTGTCTTTGTCCATTCCCGCCGCTTCCTTCCCACGTGGTGCGCCCTTTTCGCGCATCGCACTGTCGGGTGGGAGAAGCCACCTCTGCCGGATCGGCGTCTCGCTCGGCGCCGGCCAGGGTCTGCAGCGTCGTGTGATCTACAGGGCAGTGTTTAATACGTAGGATGTTTTGGGAAAAAAGGGATTTTTCAATACATGATTAATTGATTAATAAATGTATGCACGAACTCACCGGTATTTTTAATACTAAATCCCTGCATTTTTTATACATGATCCGCACGCGGAGCATGTATTCAAACCGGCACTGTACCTCGTGGTGTCCTGTTGCGCGCTCTCGCGCTCGCATACTTGGCTACAGGCGTTGTGTGCCAAATGGCTGTGGCCCTTTGGGGCGTGCATCATCATGGGGCGTTCCACCTCGTCCTACCGTCGGGGCGTTGACCTAAGGAACCCAAAATCAGGAACGAGGCCCCTTTCTCCAGAAGTTCAACTTCGACTTCCCATCGAAAATCCAAGGATAACCTGGGGCAAAATGTGAAACAATGAAGGAACACGGAACCCCTCCCCAATGAAAAGGGTTCCTTATTCAGAGCCCCGACTGTACCCGACCAATTCGGGGCGTTACCCGGCGTATTCCTACGAAGCTTGGTTCCCCTCTTGCTCGTGTCTTCGCCACCTGTCAGAGCCTCGGCTTCGCGCACTCTCGGCATGCCCAGTGGCATAGGTGTCAACATGGGCTTGGCCTATACCGCCTCGCTGCTTTACTAGCGTACGTATCCTGCCCCGTGCTTCTCGTTCTCAACCGCGACTTGGTCATCTCAATGGCCCTGCTATTCTCTGAAGTGTACGAACCAGATTTGCGCGGCCCGCCTGTATACTTCAAGGGGCATTCATTTCCGAGGAGGGCTTCATCGGGGTGTGTTTCTTCGAGTGCTTCATCGTGGAGTGCTTCATCTTGGCGTGATTCATCGCGGCGTGCTTTACGGTGACTGCTTCGTCCGGGAGTGCTACGGTATGGAGTACTTCATGGGGGCGTGCTACACCGCGGCGCGTTCCATCGTGGCGTGCTTCGCGGGGCCGTGCTTCCTCGGGGAGGCGTGCTTCATCGAGGAATGCTACATCGTGGAGGGTTTCATCGAAGGCCGCTTCATTCTGGCGTCCTCTAGCGGAGGCGTGCTTCACGGAGGCGTGCTTACCGTGGCGTGATTTACGGAGGCGTACTTCACGGAGGCGTTCTTCACGGAGGCGCGCGTCATCGTGGAGTGCGTCACCGGGGGGGTCTTCAGGGTGGCGTGCTTCATTGTGGCGCATTTCCTCAGGGAATGCTTCGGGAGCGTGCTTCATCGGTGGGGGCTTCATGGGGGGCTTCATTGCAGTTTTTTTGGGGGGGAACGTGCGTCACGGAGGCGCGCTTCATTGTGGCGTGCTTCATTTTGGTGAGCTTCACCGGCACGTGCTTCATTGCGGCGTGCTCCTTCGGGGACTGCTACATAGCGAAGTGCTCCTTCGAGTGCTAATTACGGTCAGAGGGGTCTCGTTTAGCGTGTATGGTCAAGGAGTGGGACTACACGCTAAACCAAATTATCTATAGCGTGATCCTGCAATGGATGGCTTAGCGTGATCCTTTTGACGTAATCTGAGATTCTCGCCTGGTGGGCACGGGCTCCGGCCGGGAGGGCAACACGGATCAGGGCCCCAAGATGCGGCCTTGTGCGGGGATGCGCTGCGACGCATGCGTGAGTATGGCGGGCATGCGCGCGCATCCGATGGGATGCCGCACAAACGTGCGCAGGCATGTGCAGCCACTCGCTGCCGGTCGAAGCAAGCCGTCGCCGGCCCAGACTGAACAGTGCGAAGCACGCCATACCGTCGCACTGGAGGTCGTCGTCGGCCCAGACCGCGCAGCGCGGTTTATCTTTGAGCTGCAGTCCGTCACGAGACTGTGCTGGCCCTGGCTTCAGCAGGGAGGGCAGCTCGGATCTTAGGGAGCCCACAAAGGACGTACGCGCCCAGCTATGTACATGAACACGGCCCCTCGATCCGCGAGACCTGCCGCGTTATACGAACATTTGCGCTATGCGTACTCTCGAAACCAGCGTGGATTCATGTACGTGCACGTCCTTTTGTCGCTCCTGAGATCTGGGCCCCACCCGAGATCTGATATCAAGAGGGCTCCAGACGGTTCCAAGGCAGTCCAGGCTGACCCCGACAGCCAGCCCGAACGGCTCAGGAGGGCCCCAAGGTGTAGCCCAAGAAGGCTGCAGCAGAGGCCCAGGCCGGCCCAAGGGAACACCAGAAAGCCCGACAAGCTGCCAGGACATCCCAAAATGGCCCCGATTGCCCCCAGAACGGCCCAGAAGGGGGCGCTCTCCCCAGTCTGCCCGTGCACGCCACTGGCACTAGTTCCAACATCCTCACTCCTCCTCTTCCTCCTTCCCTCTTCCATCCCCACTCCTCCTCCTCTTCCTCCTCCTCCTCCTCCTCCTCCTACTTCTCCTCCTACTCCTCGTCCTCGTCCTCGTCCTCCTCCTCCTCCTCCCCCTCCATTTCCTCCTACCACGGAGCCCGGCTCCTTAAGCGTGTTCTGCGCGACGTTCTGGAGCTCCTGGTGCCCAGGGGGGGCGGGCGAAGGGCGGGCAGAGGCGGGAGGCGAAGCCAGCTGAGGAGCAGAGGGAGTGGGGGAGAGCAGGATGGGGAGGGAGTGTGGGGGAGCAGGACGGACTGGTGAGGGAGGAGCGGGGGAGGAAGGAGGAGGAGGAGGAGGAGGAGGAGGAGGAGGACGACGACGAGGGAGAAGTATGATGAGGAGGAGGGTGAGGAGTGAGGAATGAGAGATGAGGAGTGAGGAGGAAGGAGGGAGGATTACAGGAGTGAGGAGTGAGGGGTGATGATGATGATGATGATGATGATGATGATGATGATGATGATGATGATGATGATGATGATGATGATGATGATGGTGGTGCTGGTGGTGATGATAGCTATGGTAGTTATGATGATGGTGGTGATGATGCTGAGGATGAGGATGATGATGATGATGAAGATGAAGATGCTGATTAAGACGAAGATGCTGGTGATGATGATGCTGATGCTGATGATGATGACGATGACGATGATGATGATGTTGATGATGATGATGGCAATGATGATGATGACGATGATGATGGCAATGATGGTGATGATGAATGATATTGATATTGATAACGGTAATGGCACTGATGATGATGACGATGATGACGACGATGATGATGATGATGATGATGGTGGAGATGCTGGTGGCGATCATGATGATGGTGATGCTAATGCTGACGATGATGTTTAAGGTGACAGTGGCGATGATGCTCATGATGATGATGATGATGATGATGATGATGATGATGATGATGATGATGATGATGATGACAATGCTTATGATGATAACGATACTATGATGATGATGACGATGACGATGACGATGATGATGATGATGATGATGATGATGATGATGATGATGATGATGATGATGATGCAGACGATGATGACCATGACCACGACGATGACGACGACGACGACGACGACGACGATGATGATAATGATGATGATGATGATGATGATGATGATGATGATGCCCATGATGGTGCTGCTGCTGATGATGATGACGATGATAGTGGTGGTGATGATGATGATGATGCGGATGATCAAAATAATGTTGATGGTGATGAGGAGGATGGTGATGAGGATTATGAGGAAGAGGAGGAGGAGGGGCAGGGGGAGGAGAGGGGGAGGGAGGAAGAGCGCGGGGAGGAGGACGTGAGGAGGAGGAGAGTGAGGAGGAGGAGGAGGAGGAGGAGGAGGAGGAGGAGGAGGAGGAGGAGGAGGAGGGGGAGCAGGAGAAGAGGTAGCTAGAGGAGGACGCGGCGACAGCGGCGATGCTTCGCACACGATCGCACCTGCTGGCAGAAGGCAGCTGTGGCAAGCCTGCTGGGGGCTCTTAGGCGTGTGAGGTCCGGAATTGCCCCTCTCCAGACTCCTACACCAGGAGCCCAGTTTGGCCGACGTGGACAGGGACGGGCGAGCGGGGGATCGGGCGGGTGGGCTCATCTGACCCAGAAGTCCTCCCATACACATCAGAAGTGCCCCAGAACGCTCCAAGACGGTCCAAGAGGGTGTAAGGACGACGCGACGATAGCAAGGCTTGCCTATATGTGCCTACTCAGATAACGTCAATTTCTGACAGGTGACACCAACTTACAGAAAACCACGATAGCAACTCATCACTACGTCGACGTGTCGAAACAAAACAAGACAGAACCAACAACAATCAACAAAACACCAACACACACACAAACAACACAAACAACACAAACAAACCACACACAACGGACACGCTGCATTTTCACTGCGGACAAACCATCGCGGCGGAAGTTGGACATCAGTAAAGGAAGGGCATCTCGGTGGGGTCTGGGTGAGCCTACACTTCGCAATACAATGTTCCCTCCACAATTGACTGCTGTAGAAGGCGGTGTCGGAGGCGGAGGAGAAGGGGATCAGCAGAAGGAGGAGATACTGAGTTTCTCCTGCCCTCAGAGAATTAAGGCTCGATTGCCCATCTCGGGAGATCCTGTCGAGCCTGCGCCCGCACGAGTGCTGACCTCCAGCTTCGGATTCCTCAGCCGCCGCTTCCTAACATTCCTCCAACACCCGATGTTCATCCTCCTCATTCCCCTCCGACACCTCATCCTCGTACTCCTCGTACTCCTCCCCCCTCCTCCCTTCCCCCGCCCACGTCCCCCCGATACTGTCACCCCTCCTCGCACACCTCTTCCTCCAACAACGATCCGACTTCGGGGTGTCGCCCTTCTTGACGCCCTTCTTGCCGGACTTGCGGGGGAAGACCAGCAGCTTGGACATGTACAGCTTCAGCCGGTCCACATTGACCTGCTCTCACTGCAGCCAGCTACACATGTTCCACTCGCCTCCTCATCCTGCTCCTCCTCTTCCTCCACCTGCAAGCGCCAAAACCAATCTCTGCACGCCGATCGCATCTGGCCTCTTGGCCATCTTGGGGGCCCCTTGGGCTGCCTTGGAGCTATCGCGGAGGCATCTTGTCAGGGGTATGCCGGCGTGGGGGGTGGCACTATGCGGTCAAAGCCAAGGTACGCGCGTGGGCGTGCCGCCGCTGGGGCCTTCGGTTGAGCTCCCCACAGGGCCACGAAGCGTGTGAACGGTCCGTCTTGGGAGCCTCTAGGCTGGCCTTGGGCTATCATTCGGACCGTCTTGGTGTCCTCCCCTGGCGGTCTCGGGAGCCGTCTTGGAGGCCATGCTGGCCGTCTGTCTGGAGGCCGAAAAAAACTCGCCAGAGAGCCTCGACCCCGACCGGGCCGACGAACAGAGCACCACGGCGACCGCGAGCACCCGGCAGCGCAGCAGCTGCGCCTCCTCCTCCTCCTCCTCCTTCTCCTCCTCCTCCTCCTCCTCTTCCTGCTCGTCCTGCTCGTCCTCCTCCACCTCCTCCTCCTCCTCATTCTCCTCCTCCTCCTCCTCTCCTCCTCCTCCTCCTCCTCCTCCTCCTCCTCCTCAAACTGTTGTCCCTGAGCTGCAGCAGGAGGACGAGTCGCCTCCCCAGGGCGGGGACGGCTATCGGCCCCCCATATCGGCGACGAGTGGGCGGTCGGGGGTCGATGCCTCCCCCCCCCTGAGCGCAGTCCCCCCGACACGCTTTTTCACTGTGCGCAGCATCAAGCCGGTGAATTCGATTAGAGCTCCAAGGCACACGCTTCGCCCCGGCAAGAGGCAGTCTGCCGAGGTGGGTCACCCCTGTGGCACCTGCATCTGCTCAAGGGAGATCTTGCGTGGGCCCTCAAGGGCCGCAGGGCAACTAATCAAGCACGGGCGCCTAACCTCGCGCCGCCCCTCAGGGGAGAAGAGGAGAATGAGAAGGAATCGGGAGCGAGCCAAGAAGCGCGAAGCGCGAACACTTTCGCGCCCTCGAGGGCGTCCTTGTCCATCGTTGCGGTCGTGCCCCGTGGGAAAAATCCAACGTCGCCCCAAAAAGCACAGCGCCCCTTTAGATCCACAGTGCCTCGGGGGCTGCAGGTGCACGTGCGGGGGCCACTTTCCAGAGCCCGGGCGGCCAGGAGCGCCACCTCTCCACGGGGGCCAGCTCTCGACAGGCCTCGCCTTCCGCGCGCGGCCGGCCCTCTGCGAGGTCCTCGCCCCAGCCACGGGGGCCGGGAGACCGTACCGCTCCAAAGTCGGAGTGCAGCAGGCGACCGCGCGGCGGCTTTTCGGGCACAAGGTCGTCTCGGCTCAGCCATGACCCCTCAGTCGCAGCCGCCCTTCTGTCACCTCTTCCCCCCGCCTGGCCTGGAGGCTCTCGGTGCAGCGGTTGCGCCGGCGGTGGTCCACCGCGATGCCGATGGTCATAGCCTTCTTGACCGGGATTTTAGCCTCACGCAGCTCGTCCAAGGTGAAGCCTGGGCAGATCACAGTTGCGAGCGGAGGCCGCGCGACGACACGACGGCAGGCCCGAGCAGGATCGAGTCGCCAAAGCGGATCGGATCGCCAACGAATCGTCCCGAATCGAACCGGAATCGGGTCGCCGAGCCCAGTTTTGGCTGGCACTAGCCGGTGCTGGTGATTCGAGCCGAACCGACTCGAGTCGGAATCGCGGCCCCAGCCGACGAATCGAATCGAATCGGATCGCAGGCGGCCCTGCGGTGGCCTTGCAAAATAAGGCGAGGAAAAACGGTGAACATAAACTTTCCGCCATCGCACCGCACCCTTGGGCGGGGCGGCAGTCCGGGGTCGCCTACTGCTTGCGTTGCACTTACTGCTGTGTTGCGCGCAGCCCAGATTGTACCGGTGTTATCTGGGCGAGTTGGGGTCGTGAGTTGCCTCCAGGCTGCGCCCGCTGGGCGCGTCCCTTGGCATCTAGTGAGGGCGCGCAGACGTTGTTCGCGCACGGTGCCCAGTCGCGTGCTATGATTTCCTAGGAATTCTCTTGTACCCTGCGCGATGTACAGTGGGCTCGGTGCGCGATTCCCTTCAGCGTTGTAGTCCTTTGCGGCTCGGCGGTGACGGTGTCCCGCTGTCATTGCATGTGGCGCCAATGCTAATAACAATCGCGCGTGCTTTTATCTTCAGCGCAGCCGCCCTCACACCCTGGATCAATACAGCCGCCGCCGCGGAGGAGGGAAGGGGCATCAGGGGCAAGGGAGGAGGGAGAAGGCGGAGGGAGGGAGGAAGGAACGGGAAAGGGGGAGGGGGTTTGGAGGAGGGAGGGGGGGGAACGAGGATGGGGAGAGGGAGGGGGCATGCGGAGTGAGGCAGAACAGAGGGCGGTTGAGTTGACCTATGGGCACCCCCCGAAGGGACACCCCCTAAGGGTCATGCGGCCTAAGCACGGGCTTCAACCAATCTAAGGCTCATGCAGAGCGCAGCCTGAACTGCTCGCAAGGCTCGTCGGCCTCCTAGGGTTCATAGGGCCCACCGGCCTCGCGGGGCTCACAGGGCCGATCGGCCTCGCAGGGAGGAGGAGCAACAGGAGGAGGAGGAGGAGGAGGAGGAGGAGGAGGAGGAGGAGGAGGAGGAGGAGGAGCGGGAGGAGGAGGAGGAGGAGGAGGAGGAGGAGGATGGACTTGACCTCTTCCCGATGTTCAGTTCTCCTATGGCCGAAGGGCAGATATGCGATCGACCGCTTTCTGATCCCCGTGCGTGTCTGCACTTCCTCCTACCTCGACCTCCTACGTCGTGACTTGTTCAGTGCTGGCGCTTGCTTCGCAGAGAACTCTCTAGAAAACGCATTGTTTCCCACGCACACTGTACCGCGCCCAGTAGAGGGCGCACATCAACCTTCCTCGCGCCGTCTACGATGCCCATTATTTGAAAATCCCACCAGCCCTCTGGGCGTCTGTGGTTTAGAGCGTTTCCTCACCCTCCTTCTTCCCCTTCGGGGATGGGTTTATCACTGTTCCATACTAATAAACACCCCCTCCCCCAGGCGACTGGGGGCCAACCAGGGTCCATGCCGACCCCCCCGCCCACCATCCCTTATAAAAAACAATACAAAACACACTCTGCCTCCAAATTCGGAACATGCGCAGCCAACCCGATGCGGCCCCCCCCAACATCCCTGTCAAAAAACCATACAACATACACTTGGCGGCGGCGGCGGCTGCGGCAGCTGCGGCGGCGGTGGCGGCGGCTGCGGCGGCTGCGGCGGCGGCGGCGGCGGGGGCGGGGCGGGGGCGGGGCGGCGGGCGGCGGCGGTGGCGGGCAGCGGCGCGGCAGCGGCGGCGGCGGCGGTTTGGGCAGCCGGGGGCGCGGCGGCGGCGGCGCGGCGGCGGCGGCGGTGGCGGCGGCGGGGCGGCGGCTGAAGCGGCGGCGGCCAGCGGCGGCGGCTGCGGCGGCTGCGGCGGCGGCGGTTAGCGGCGGAAGTACACTTGGCGGCTGTGGCGGCTACGGCGGCTGCGGCGGCGGCGGCGGCGGCTGCGGCGGCTGCGGCGGGCGGCGGCGGCAGCGGCGGCGGCGGCGGCGGTGGCGGCAGCGGCAGCGGCGGCGGTTGGCAGCGGGGGGCGCGGCGGCGGCAGCGGCGGCGGCGGCGGCGTCGGGGCGGCGGCTGGCGGCAGGCGGCAGGCGGGCGGCGGCGGCGGCGGCGGCGCGGCGGCGGCGGCGGCGGCGGCGGGCAGCAGCGGCGGCGGCGGCGGCGGCGGAAACGGCGGCGGATTGGTCCCCAGTAGCTGCCCATCCCAAGGCGGCTGCTGAATATGCTGAGGCTCGGGCCTGACTCGGGTGCTACGTATGTGTTGGGGGAGTGAACGAGACGGCTTGCGGGCGGGGACGGGGTGACCTGACCCCTCCCCCTACCCCCTCCCCTGGACCTGGACGGGGGGGTCCGCGGGTCGTTGGGGCGTCCAAGATGGCCTCGGCGAGGAAGCCAAATTCATTGATGTTATTAAGGTTTGGGCCCCATTTCGGCCTCCTGGGGGGGCAACGCGAAATTCCCCCCCCCCCCCCCCCCCCCCCACCCCCGCCCCCCCCCCCCCCCCCCCCCCCCCCCCCCCCCCCCCCCCCCCCCCCCCCCCTTCTTTGATAGATCTCCTCCAAGATGGCCCCAAGAAGCGACCAAGGAGGCCCACAAAGAGGTCCCCAAGATGGCCCCAATAGGCCCACAGGAGGCCCCCCCAGAGACCCCAAGAGGCCCAAGAGGCCCCCAAGGGGCCCCAAGAGGCTCCCCGAGATACGCAAGAGGCCCCCAGCCAAGAGGCCCCAAAGACGGCCCAAGAGGCCCCCAAGCTCGCCATTGTCCTCATCCTCCTCCTCTTCTTATTCCTCCTCCCTCCTCCCCCTCCCTCTCCTCCTCCTCCTCCTATATTTTATTTCATCCTCCCTCCTCCCCCCTGCCCTCTCATCCTCCCTCCTCCTCCTCCTTTTCCCCCTCCTCCTCCTCCCTCCTCTCCTTTTCCTATCCTTTCTGTCTTCACGTCATGCCCTCCTCCATCTCAACTCCTCATATCCTCCTCCTCCTCCTCCTCCTCCTCCTCCTCCTCCTCCTCCTCCTCCTCCTCCTCCCCCTCCTCCTCCTGCTCCTCCTCCTGCTCCTCCTCCGTCGCGTGGCACGTTTGATGTATTCGGCCCAAGGCTCACTGAAGTCCGCGTCGTTGTAGTCGTTGGTGCCACCACTGCTACGAGTTGGTGTCGATGCCGTCTTGTGTTGCGGCAGGTTGCTGTCTGCGTCGGCAAACCATCCGAAGCGGCGGATTTCCGGCCGCGTTGCGCTGTGGCACGACGCCCGTAGCGCACTCGCTGGCAGCGCTGTGGCACGACGCCGCGCCGTGGTACGCGCGCGCGTGGATCAGGGTCCGCAGGGCCAACGGCCCCCAATAATGACCCGCTCGCAGCAATCACAGACCAACGATCAGACGACGGTCCAACCATCGATCAGCCCCGCAGCAACCTTGCGAAGCCGAGACTCAGTTATACACATCCACCGGGGAGCCGTTCTTCCGGGGCCCCGCGGAGGCGGTGGATATAGATATACTTTGGCCCATGTATGGCGCGCGCGCGCGTTGGCGCCTTCTCCAGGCCATCTCCAGAAGCTAAACACAATATTCATATTTATATTTTTTTACACGGCCGGGGAGCCCCCCCCCCCCCGGGAGCGCGCCCCCCCCCCCCCCCCCGAACGAATTTCGGATTTTCCATCCTGCCGGGGCGCTCTCCCTGGCTCTCCCCAGCGCTGACCAGCGGCCTGGAATCGCCTTGGACAGCCCCCAGACACGGCCACGCCGCCCGAATACGGCCCCGGGAAGCTTGACATTGACAGCCAAGGAACTTTAACATATCCTACAAAAACAAGAGGTCCCCACCCGCTCACAAGGCCGCCCAGGGAGCCACCAAGAAGCGCCGAAGAAACCCAAAACTAGAATTTTCTAATGTTTAGGAACGATTTTGGCTTTCTCGCCTCTCGCCCTGCCAAACTCAAAGACACACGAAAATGCACCTAAGACCGCTCCACGACGGCCTAGCAAGTGGCCGAAAGCGAGCCCCGAGAGGCGTCCAATATGGCCCATGACAGCCGCATGACGGCCCCAAGATGAGCGCAGAGGCACCCAAGGCCGCTCCAACATGGTCCAACCGATCGCGAAATCAGCTTCCCGACGGCCCACGAGGCGTTCAAAACGGCTTTCAGACGTCCCCGCGGGGCCAAGAGGCCTCCAAGATCGCTTGAAGACGGCCCGCCCGATCCGAGGGGCTCCCCGAGAGGGCTTGCGGGCCCCAATCGAGCCTCCAAGATGGCCCAAGCAAGGCCGATGACCTCCCCAAAGGCCCAACTTTACAGCAAACGAGCATAACAGGGCGTCGTCTCGTCGTCGTTTTCCTGCTGCTCCTCCTCGAATTCCTCTTCCTCCTCCCCCTCCTCCTCCTCCTCCTCCTCCTCCTCCTCCTCCTCCTCCTCCCTCGCCCCCGCGTCGTCTCCTCCCTCCTCCTCAACCTCCGAGAAGAAAGAAGTAGAAGCGAGGTCCGAACCACGCCGAAGGCAACTGGGCCTTTGGGAGGACAGCCGGCGGGCTCCCCCGAGTGGCCCTTCCTTCCTCCCCCAAGTGCCCCTGCCTCCCTAACCCTGCTCCTCCTCTTCCTGCTCCCTCCCATCGGGGATCCAAGAGACCCCCCCAGATCCCTGTAGGAGTGCTACGGCTCGGAAAGCCCAACGACGTCCAAGAGCGAACGTCTCGACGAGCCCCCCGCGCAAAGCCCACGCCGACGTTCTGCAAGGCCGCTATCCCCGAAGTCGCATCAGCACGCCGCCTGGCACACCCCCCGTCTGACGCGCCACATTCTGGCCAGAATCCTGGGTTCGCAACCATTTGAACACAAATTTGGTTGCGAACCCGGGATTCGAAGGGTTTTCCTCTGGGAACCGCTCCCCTCGCAAGAATCGTGGCATCCGGGCGCGAAAGTAAGAGCTCTCCGC